AAGGATTTGTTTTACCACTTTCCCAATAATGCTTAGAGCATTTTAGCTCTGTTTTGCTATCTCCTATTTTTGTTTAATTATTGTCATATATTTTAAGTTTCCTTATATTTAAACTCTTTATTATTGTTTTGTATAGTCAGTATTTCTTCACATATTTAACCTTTCTGTTGTGCTTCATTTCTTTCTGCATTTCCATATGGAATCATTTTTCCTCTGCCTGAAAAACTCCCTATGTCATTTTTTATTTTGGGGACAAAGATTTTGATGTTGGTAGTTATTTTCTTTCAGCACTTTAAACATGTTACTCCATTGCTTTAGGCCTTATGTGATTTCTATTGAGAAGTAAGTTGTCGTACTTATTGTTTCTCTTTTGAAAGCAATTATTATTATTTGGTATTTGTATTTTATGTGTCGAGTGTGGTTTTCTTTTTTTATTAATTTTCATTCAACATTGCTTTACAATGTTGTGTTAGTTTCTGCTTTACAGCAAAGTGAATCAGCTATACGTATACATATATCCCCTCTTTTTTCGATTTCCTTCCCATTTAGGTCATCATAGAGCATTGAATAGAGTTCCCTGTGCTATACAGTATGTTCTCAGTTATCTATTTTATACATAGTAGTGTATATATGTCAATCCCAATCTCCTAATTCACCCCACCCCGCCCTTTCCCTGCTTGGTGTCCATATGTTTGTTCTCTATGTCTATGTCTCTATTTCTGCTTTGCAAATAAGTTCATGTGTACCATTTTTCTAGATTCCACATAAGTGATATTATACAATATTTATTTTTCTCTTTCTGACTGACTTCACTCCATATGACAGTCTCTAGGTGCATCCATGTCCTTGCAAATGGCACAGTTTTGTTCCTTTTTATGGCTGAGTAATATTCCATTGTATATATGTACCACAACTTCTTTATCCATTCCTCTGTTGATGGACATTTAGGTTGCTTCCATGTCCTGGCTATTGTAAATTGTGCTGCAGTGAACATTGGGGTGCATGTATATTTTCAAATTACGGTTTTCTCTGGGTATATGCCCAGGAGTAGGATTGCTGGGTGATATGGTATGTTTACTTGCTTGAGGTTTGCAGAGCCTTTGAATCTCTGGATTGATGTCTTTCATCAATTTTAAATAATTCTTGACTATTATATGTTCATATATTTCTTCTGTTACATTCTTTCCTGCTTGTCTTTCTGGGGCACTAATAAATAAGTATGTTACACCTATGCCCCATACCCCCAGCATGTCTTATAAGCCCTCTGTATTATGCCTCCTTTTTCTCTTTGTGCTTCAGTTAGGTATTTTCTACAGAGCTATCTTTCAATTCACAAAAAATTTTTTTCAACTGTTTCAATTGCTGTTAAATCATTCTATTGATTTCTTAATTTCAGATATTCTGTTTTTCAGTTCTAGAGTGGCTATTTCATTATTTCTTATGATTTCACTTCTCAGGAGGAAGTCTCCATGATTTAAAGCATTTTTTTTTCAAAAATTTTCCCCCTATGTTTTCTTTTTTTTTTTTTAAGTTAAAAATTGATTATATATTTCTCTGCAGAGAGAGTAGGACATAAGTTATACATGAGCAAAAATTAGTAAGAGAAAACAATATAAAATATAGAAAATCAACAAAGCTAAAAGGTGGTTCTTGGAAATTTCTAGTATATTTTATAACTCCTTGGCATAACTGATCAAGAAACAATGAAAGAAGGCACAGACTTCTAATATCAAGAATAAAAAAAGGGTCAACATTACATGTCATACAGATATTATCAACACAAAATAATATAAATGTATGACATTTATTTTGAACATTTGATGTAATAGAACAGAAAAATAGAAAAAACTAATTGTACAATATCTATAGTTAGACTTCTCACATAGAAAATCTAGGATTAGATGACTTGCTTTAAGAATTCTACCAACCAATTAAGGAAGAATTTTTGAATCTTAAAGGAATTGTTTGAATATTTCCTTTGAATATTTGAGCAGGTATATTTCCCAACTCAGTTTATGATGCTAGCAAAATTCTAATTCCCAAATCTGACGAATATACTTGAATAAATGGAAAAAAATCCTGTTCCATCTCTTTTACAAACATAGATACAAAATCCTAAACAAAATATTGCCAACATTAATCAGTGGTATGTGGAAAGGGAAAAATCACTATCAGTTTGTATTTGTTGCAAGAACACGTGGTCAGTTTAACATTTAAATATATGACAAAAAAATTACTATATTAATATTTGGTTCTTCCTCCCAATGTTGGGACATGCTTATTCATCCCGCCGTTTAAAATAGTTGTTGTAAATTTACATTCCCATATTTCATTATGTGTTTCACAATCAAAATACTTTTGCTTATCTTGTTAAAAATCTCAGTCATATAACTGTCCTGATCAATTCTTTCTTGAAAACTATTTCAGTTGCAACAAATAAAGGAAAAAAACTGTTAATTTTTCTTCTCATTTATATTTTTTGAGTAATATAAAACCAACAATTCACTCACAGTTTTAGTGGGCATAAACTCCCAGCCAGAGGTTACATTTCCCAAAAGTCTTTGAAGCTGCATGTGGCAATTTGACTAACTTTTGGCTATTCAAAGATGAGTAGAAGTGATGTGTGCAACATTCTGCTCACACTATTTTAAAAATAAAGTTGATTTCCCTTCACTTTTTCTTTTGCCCTTCTTACAGGCTAGAGCAATGATTTATATGGCCATAGTGTCAAAGCTGACCATGTTGATGAGGACATCATGAGGGAGAGGGAGTAGGAAAGAAACAAGATAGAATAAACCTAGTTTCTTTCACAGCATTGTAGATCTGAGCAGCCTGCTCGCCCTATGTTTTCTTGAACAAATTAATCATAGTTATTTTAAAATTCTGTCTGCCAGCTCCAGTATCTGGATCACCTATGGGTCTGTTGTTATTTTCTGTGATTTTTTTCTCTTGATATTTGATCATGCATGTCTGTCTTTTGGCATGTCCCATAATTTTTAATAGAGTGCTAGATATTGTATATAATACAGAGACTTTAATAGTATTATCTTCTGCTAGAGAGATTTCATATTTTTTTCTGCAAAGCAGGTAGAAGTCAAAGGAGATCACCTTAATTTAATCATGGCTGTGGCTATTACAGTTTTTCTAGGGCTTAGTTTACCTCTTTTTTGTTCATTTTTATAAAGTATTGTTCTCTGGGGATTTCAACTGTGAGCCTGACATGTTTAACCATCCCTACCCCCGGGTTCTGAACTGTAATCTTTAATGACTCTGTGTCTCAGAGTTTTAACTTAGAGTTTTAGTGTCACCTTGCTCCTCATCTCTTTGCAAACATCTTGATAGGGAAACAGACCATGTATTTTGAGGCTCCTCAAATCTGCAATTTTGTTATGTGGCCCAACAAGACCACAACAAGCTTATTTTCCAGCTCCTTAATGGCAACCTTCTGCCAGGTCTAAACCCAGATTCTTTCTCTGTTGCCTGTTTATCAGCAAATGTCCCAGGAAAAAAGCATCTGCAGATTGATCGCTAAACTTTCAGAGGTTCTATCCTCTTCAGAATCTTAGCCCCCCTTGTCTGTACTGGCAGTTCATAGAGTTGGAAGCATTCATAGCCCTATGAAGACTTTAAAAATAGAATTTTGTTGTATTTTATCTGGATTTATAACAAATCATATTAATAACAAAGAAAAAATCTGGATTTTATTTTGTTGTATTTTATATGGATTTATTTGGTTAAAATGTGGTCTTATGCAAACTACTCATTCCCTCTAAAGCCAAAGTCATTTCTTGAGCTTGTTAATTTCTACTACTAAACAGTAAAAATTGCAAAACACTTTTGAACTTATTTCATAATTTCTAATACCATATACATGATAATAATAAAATTATTATGCAAGTAAATTATTTTTCAGCTTCAATAAATTTAAAAATCACATGAAGTAATAATGATGGCTCAGGTGCTCTATATTTGAAGGATTTCACATTTCTACATGATGTGAAACCGTGATTTTTCTGTTTGTGAAAGTGATAGAATCTACCTATTTTCTTTTGAGTGGCTATGTAGCAATAAAACATGAGGAAAAGAGAAGTACCAACTTCATCATTTAGGGTAGTGAAGCATATAGTTTCAAAGATACAGTATGTGAGAGATGAATTTTTTAGTAGATCAATGTTCCTGAAAAAAAAGAACAAAGAAATACCTAGCTATTCTTCTAGGTGTTAAATCCTGAAGTATTAAATATGAATATCAAATTCTGAAATAGAAACAGTAAAGTGTATAAAAATGGGAAAATAAATCCTCATCCATTTTGTATATACAAAGAATGTTACTGCTGGTTATATGGCTTAAATTATTAAATGAATACAAATGGCTAAATTGTATAATAAATCAGAAGGAGTATAATATCACAAGGATTAACTAATTGCTAATTAAATTTTTAGATTATCAGCTTCCTCTAGCCTATTAATTTGCATCTTCACTGCATGTAAGGAATTATGATGTTTAAGTGAGTGTGGATCATTTTGCTTAGAAAATTTATTAATCCAGGATTGCCACATAATCAATTTAAATAGTTATTGTTAATATATTTCTATTTCATGTATTAATAGTTATTAAAAAATAGTACTGTATAATTGACCAAATATCTTATATATTTTTGATATTACAACCTGCTAGTTATGAATCAGGACAAGAATTGTTTCTGAATTTGACATTAGAGTATAGCTAATAACTTGCCCCTAATATGTTTAAATAATGTATGCAGATCCATCTTACTTTTGTAGAGGTTCATGTAATCAACCCTTTTCCTATTTTAATATCTCATTGATTTAACATCTTTTACTGTATTCCATTTAAAAGTTTTTAAAAATAAATATATGTATATCTCTATTTAGTGACAGAGCCATATTAATGAGCTTATTGCAAATTTATTAATCATGACCTTTGTATTGATAAAAATAAAATAAGTGATATACTTCTTTTTTCAAAAATTTTTTTTTGAATTCACAGGCCCGTGGAATTTCTGATGAACTACCTAACTTGACTAACTGATATGCTGCTTTCTCGTCAAGAACAGAAAGAACTACTAAAGTATCAGATATGGTAAGAAGGCTTTTCTATGACCAAATGTATTTGTAATCTAGGAATCATGGAGGAGACTGAATAACATAAGCCTTATATTAGGACCTGAGAGAGGTACCTGGTAGCCTGCTGTAATATCTTCAGCTAGTATGCTACTTCCATATTTTTAAAGTTCAATGAAATTCTTTTTTTTTTTTTTTTAAGTGAAAGAAAGTTTATTCAGGTAGAAACACACTCCATATACAGTGTGTGGGCCATCTCAGAAGGTGAGAGAGGCCAATGAAATTCTTGAAGCTAAGCAGAAGTCTAGCATTTCTCTGTGAGAAAAATATTATGTGGAACGTCTCCTTAAGGGTCAGAGAGCATTCATTAGGCCATATAGACAAACTCAACTTGTGTTGTGTATGAAGTGGAAGGTTTGTTTACTTTAGGTTCAACTCAGTTTCCTCATAAGTACGAATATTTTCCCTTTTCAGTTTGAATCTATCTTGAGACTTAAGACTTTTCAGTGACATTTTTTATCCCTGTTAATCTGTATTTTAAGTTGTGTTGATAAGAATTTTGCTACCTCAATTTCCATTTTTTATAAATAACTAATATTGAATAAATTGAAATAAGTAAAGCATGTGAAATTTAAAACTGTATACTTAACTATTTCATTCAGATTAAACTTATTAAAAGATCAAAGTGAAATTTAAAGATAAAAGGTTAGACTTATGTGTACAGGTATTGTTAAAATAAATTTTTATAGGAATTGGACTATTATTATAAGATATTGTTAGTGACAAATGACCAAAACAGGATCATTAACCAGGTCGTAAAATGTTGCCAGTCAACGGAGAAGCAGAATTGCTGAACTAAAATTCTATTAGGTACACAATGCCAAGAGTTCATTTACAGTGTTTTCAATGGTGAAGTAAATGGTACAGGATTAGGAAGAACTCATGTAAATGAAGTACAAATGCAGTGCTAGTTAAGTTAATACAGCTGTGAATGTCTAGGAAATCATAGGAATTAGATTAATTTGATGAGAGTCATTAAGGAAGGGACTTATTTTTTTTCTGAGACATTAATTGACTGAATCTGAGAGATGGAGTCAAAATTAGCATCAGGTTCTATGAGACTTTTTGTAACTATAAGTTCAAAAGACAGTTTAGAATCATCTAGCAGTGTCTTGACATTTAAGAGATTCTCATAATTGTTAAATAAATGTGTTGTTTTAGTAGATTATTAATCTTGAGGAATTTTAGGGTTATGTTGTGTTTCTCAAGTGAATCATTGTTATACACACCTTTGGATCCATGGTGATATATGTCATAAGTAATTTATTACTAATATAACGCTTTTTAGCTTAGGAATATTTAGAATGGATTTGTAGTTATTTCTCTTGTAATATAGTAGCTACTAGGAAAAAACAATGCAAATTTCGAAGGTACCCATAGGAATGCACATGTATAAGTTACACTTTATGTTTGTAGTGAAAAAAGATGATAGAGATCTGTTCTAAAGGAAGATGAGTTGCATACCAATTGTTTTTACCTAACTTAAATTTTCCTCTTTTATCTTTATCTCTCACTGCATCTGGAAATTCCTTTTTATTATTTATTTATTTATTATAATTTTTATTGGGGTATAGTTGATTTACAATGTTGTGTTAGTTTCAGGTGTACAGCAAAGTGAGTCTGTTATACATATAGGTATATCCACTCCTTTTTAGAGTGGCCGTATAGGCCATTACAGAGTATTGAGTAGAGTTCCCTGTGCTACACAGTAGGTTCTTATTAGTTATCTATTTTATATATAGTAGTGTATATGTGTCAATCCCAATCTTCCATTTGTCCCTCCCGCCCCACATACCCTCTGGTAACCATAAGTTTATTTTTTACATCTGTAACTCTATTTCTGCTTTGTAGATAAGTTCATTTGTAGCCTTTTTTTAGATTCCACATATAAGCAATATCATATGATATTTGTCTTTCTCTGTCTGACTTCACTTAGTATGATAATCTCTGGGTCCATCCATGTTGCTGCAAATGGCATTATTTCACTCTTTTATTGGCTGAGTAATATTCCATTGTATATATGTACCACATCTTCTTTATCCATTCCTCTGTTGATGGACATTTAGTTTGCTTCCATGTCTTGGCTATTGTGAATAGAGCTGCAGTAAACATTGGGGTGCATGTATCTTTTTGGATTATGGCCCAGTAGTGTAATTCCTGGATCATATGGTAGCTCTATGTTTAGTTGTTTAAGGAACCTCCATACTGTTCTCCATAGTGGCTGTACCAGTTTACATTCCCACCAAAAGTGTAGGAGGGTTCCCTTTTCTCCATACCCTCTCCAGCATTTGTTTGTAGATTTTTTGATAGCATTGTCCTTTTTTCCCCTCAAGAAACACTTGCATTTAAAAGGATTGGTTGGTACTCAGCTTACCCAAGAAGCGAAATAGTTTAGTCACATAGAATTCTTTGGTTTTTGAATCCCTTCCATAAATAAGAATACCCTTCAAACATGTGGGTGTATGGTATGTATCTAGTGAAAAATTCAAATTATTGATCTCAAACTTTTAAAATAATGGAATTAATTTTATAATTTTCACATCAAATAAAAATATTAGAAAATTTACCTCCTATATATTTACATTTTATATATATGGATATGCTGCAATCTTGAAGGAGGGCATATAGTTTAATTTTCAACATGTTACATAAAAGTTTTACATAAAGATATTAAAAAATGCAGACTTCTGGTTTCATGTGAAAGACAGAGCATATATATACATCTCCCTTCTTTTTACAAGGTCACAATGAAATAACTTTTTTTTAAACTATGATATAAGCATTAGTTGAATATAAAAAGACAAAGAGATTGAAAATATTAATGGAGGCTAGACACAAGCCAAACATCTGATTATTAGGCATTCCAGGAGCAGAATGCTAGGATGGTAGTTTGGAGTATTTGATGTAAAAAACAGTAAGTTATCTTGAACAAAAAAATCACATGTCTTCAATTAGAAGAGCTCAACAAAATACCATAGAGGATGAATTTTCAAAGATATGTATTCTCACATTCTTTTGCATTTTCAGAAGACTAGAAATAAAGAAAATACCCTTGAAGCTTCCACAGAGAAAAGTAACTGGGTCACCTACAATGGGATGAGAAACATACTGATATCAACACTTTCTCAGCAGCATTAGAGACGTTTCAGAACTAGGAAATGGTAGGATAATATTTTCTAAAATTTCTAAGAGGAAATAATTTTGGATAAAGAATTCTGCCTCTACCCCAAATTTCAATTAAATGAATCAAGAAAATAATTTTCTGACATGCAAGAGCTTGGAAAGTTTAGTACCTTCACAACCCCATGTGTGAAGATGCTGTAGCAAAAAAAAAAGAAAAAAAAGGAAATAAGAAAAAGGTGACATAAACATATAAACATAGAGAATAGAAACTCAGCATTTCTGGATGAAGTAGAGAAAAGTGGAAACAAATTAATAAAGAAGGCATTTTTAGTTCATGCTTGGGACATTCTTCAAGAGCCAGGGGTTTTATGACCACAGAATTTTATTTACTTCTCTATGTGTTTGGCTGCACTAGTTGGTTCAGTGGGGAATAATCATGATATTCTAAATGCTGTTTTAATATTGTTGATTTGAAATCAATCTATACAACATTGCAGAAGATTTAATTATAGTACAATATAAATATTAGAAATCTTAATATCATTAATAAAATCAAGAGGTGAAAGGTAGGAGGCAGTGAAATATGGCAGATCTCTTATTTCATAGTGTGGAGTTAACAGATATTGTCAAAAATTGGCAAATTACAATGTAAGTCCTTATATTAAATTTGTAATGGTAAATACAAAAAAAACCCCACACACCTCAAACTGAAAAAACTCAATTACTATTAAAATAAATTATTTCTGGGACTGGAACCAGGGACAGGTCAAGGAGGACAATTTTACCATTTATTTTAGACACTTGTATATGATTTGATTTCTATTCATGATGTGAAGATATTATTTTAAAATAAAAGTAAAAATAATACTCCTGAGTTTATGAGGAGCATGCATTTGGAATGGCATTATGACATACTGGTGCCTGTACTGACTCATTCTCTGCAAACAACCAAAATTCTAGGTAAAATAGAAACAAAACATATTCACAAATGCTTCCAAGATTTAGAAAGAGAGGAGTACACAGGCTAAGTTAAGGAGGGGCCCAGAGTCGCAAGTAGAGCACTGAAGCCAACTCTCACCCTGAGGACATTTGCCAAACTAGGTGACCTTGAGTTTTAATTTGTATAGCCTCAGAGACCTCCAGAGAATGAAAGAGAGCCTAAGACTCTCTCACAGTGATTAGTCTCAAAAAGATTCTTAATACAGTTAAGACTCCAGAGGGCAACCTAGGCAGGTTAGGAGTGAAATGCAAATAAATCTCCCCTTCTTACACACCAAAGGACTTTAAGGAAGATTGTTAGTGTTGAACTTTTTGGTGTTGAATGTGTGTTAGGGGAATCACCCCTGAGATCCTGTTACATTTCACCTTCATTTAATGGTTACAGATATTAATAAAATTAATTTTATTAATAAAAAAAGAGCTAATGCTTATAATGTGCTTGTTCTATGCCAAGGACCATTTCAAATGTATATTAACTCACCTGAGTACTATAATAATGGCCATCTTTAAAAATGTGGAAACTGAGTTTAAAGTCTTTAAATGGCAGTCAGAATTCACACCGAGGCAGTCCATCAATAGAATCCACTCATTTAAGAGTCTTTCTGTGTTACTCCCCTTTGGGCTGAAGAATTAGGCTTAACTAAAATAAATATGACAATAAAATAAATATGACAATATAGTAAATGATTTTTGTGATTTAAAACAAAAGAGATATGACTGTAAAGATCTCAGACATTATTATAAGGGATAGAACTTTTTTTTTTTGAAATGCAATTTCTGTTTAACAGAAACTGATGAGGATTCAGCATCATGAAACAGTAATGAAGTTAATAACTT